TTATTTGTGGCTTTTATTGGCAAATTTATTGTACCTTTACTGAATAATTAACACGTATCAATTGTCAAAAGTTTTTGACAGATATAATTTTTTTAACATTTTTTCCATCTTCTTGGTGTCATACCTTACTTGAAATTTTTCTCTGAGGCGCTAGTTCTGACACACCCTGTACAGGTGAAAAAGGTAACTTACTAAACTTTAAAAACATAGGGGCGATTTACAGAAAGCGAATTAAAATTTAATTAATTAAATTAAATTAATCTCAAATTAAAATTCGAGTGCATCAGTTTTGTAAACTGGTCCTTAATGCTTTAAAATGCCTCCCAAAACATTTTTTTTGATAAGCCAATTGTGCGAAATACTTCTTTAGTTACGGAATAATTATATAAACGACAATAATTTTATATGGGGAGAGGTTATGTATTTATTCTTTTCTTCATTATTAAATATACATATATTACATCTACAAAAATGCAAAAATTTCATCGAAGGTAAAAATCTACGAAATTTTGGTTAAATAAAAATATCGCTTATTTAAAAATTACAAATTTTTACTTCGATTCTGTAAAAATAATTGCTGTTTTTCAACTTCATAAAAAGACAAATAAAATAAATATAGATTAGAATAAATAATGAGGACTAAAAGTAAAAGTACATTTTTCTTCACTTTTTCCAGTCAGTTTTTGTAGCTTTTTCTAGTTACCTAATTTTAAGTTCGAATTACTTACTTTGATGCATAAAAATCAGAGGTTTTTACCAAAAAAGTCTAATGTTTTTTTTTATCCTAAATCAATTTGTAGATTATAAAATTAGGCCTATATGATATATTTTTGAAACTGAAAAAGTCATTCTCATCATGAAAAAAAATATTTTAATGGTTTTATTCATGTCAAACCTGTTTTATACACATTTTAATGGGTTTTTTAAAGGGGTTTATGCTAAACAACTAAAATGCAAAAAAAAGAAATGTAAAATAGATTTACCTACTTATAATAAGAAAAAATGTAAAAATCGAGTTGTCATTTTGATTGTTGTTTTTTACGGAATCTTTCTTTTCAAAAACAGCTTATTAACATGCTGCGACATTTATTTATTTGAAACAAAGTGTTTTTTTAATTACGTAATTTGAAAACCAATTGTTCTAGAAAATCCGTTCAATTTTGATAAATTTATTATGATCGGAATAGAAACCTGGGTTAAAATAAAAATTATCGTGTGGTTGGATTTATTTTAAATTCCCTTTCAATCTGAAAACAGTTTTATTCTGAAATTTTAAAATTCTGCTCAATTATGAAATGCTATTACTTCGTTGGATTCAAAATGTGATGTAATTCTGAGCAATTCGTCTCTCCCATTCAAGCACAAAGCAGTTTATTGGTCGTTAAAAGAATCTCAAATAAAAATAACGAAACACCGTTAATGACCATCCCAGACAGAAATAAACCCAGAAAGATGTAAATAAATCGAAATAAATTTAATTGCAGTCAGTCGTATTAACGAAGCAGGAATTCCGACCCTTGCTTACATTTTCGTCATATTCGAACGATCAATTCTCGTTTCGATTGTTTGAAGGTGGGCGTAATAGCTGATTTAACAGCTGTTACGTACAATTAACACATAAACTCTCCCAGCACAACAAAGATTAAGGACGAGATGCCTGTTTCTGAATCAGTTCGCCATAAATGCACGAGAAAAAAATAAATATCCATATTGAGAAAATGCGCACTCGATCGCAGCGAAATTTTCCATGCATTCGAGACAAAGCAATTCAAATTCTTGGCCTCTTTCGTCAATGCACACATTGCAATTAATTTTAATTATTGGACGAGAGTGGGGCCACGCTAATGACACTTTGATGTTTTTGGAGGATTTGATGCGCTCATTTTTGCATATTTAAACGACTTGCATTGGCGTGGGTGTGGAGGCGCCAAATTTTTACGAGCAGATGTAAAAGATGAAAAGTTTGGGTAAACATCAACTGACTTGGATTGGGATAAATATGTTATTTCAACAAAGTATTTTATTGACCTTTTGTGTTAAAATATTTAAAAATTTTGCATGCAAAATTCACCTCCATATGAACCCACTGCATCCCCTGAAATAATTTACTCATGTCTTTGGTGGTAAAAATCCCAAAAACGTGTTTCTCTTATAGTTATGCTATAGAAATCGTGAAATAATTTTTTTTGGTATTCTCCGTCCCAGGTTTAAAAAGTAAAGCAACGAAATGTGGAAATAAGATATTAACAGGGTGATTGAAGTGAAAAAAATGTGTTCACTTGAAGCGTTTCTTAATAAATGTTTTGATAAAAAAGGGTATTTTAGACGTTTTTAAGTATAGTTTGTATTAATCTATAGAGAGTGCGCCAGAACTCGCGCCCCAAAGCAAAACTTCAAGTAAAATAATATACCAGGAACATGGAAAATGTTTAAAAAATTCTCTGTCGAAAAATTTGACATATTTTTTGACTTTTGACATTTTTTTATGTGTATTTAGTGATACTAATGATCTTGTATAAGTTTCTTTTTATAATTATTTAGTAAAGGTACATAAATGTTGTCAATAAAAGCCACAAATAACATTAAACAGAGTTACAATGTAGGATACAGCTTCCTTGTTTCCTTTTCTAATTGCCTGTAGCAAAAAAACTTGGAAAATTTTTCCAACAGAAATGAATAGTCAAAGTGCGAAATTGAAACTCCCATAATTTCGAAGTTTTTATAGATAGATTTTTTTAACATATTTTCCATGTTCCTGGTATCTTATCTTACATGGCATTTTTCTCTGGGGCACGAGTTTTGACGCACTCTGTATACACAATGAATACAGCAAATATAATGAAGTGATTTGATTTCTTTGACAAGAATACAGAAAAAACTAAGAATATTAATAAAATAAAGTTTTTGTCCCTTTAAAGAGCTTTAGCACATTTTGACTATCCACTTAAAAAATGACAGTTTGAATAAGCATGAAGTTTAACTTACTTGCAACATTTTTTTTGTTTTGTTGTTGCATCTAAAAATAAGAGATTCACAAGTCTTTTCAATACCTACTTCTAAATACGTTTTTTACCTTCTTTTAAATGTTTACAGTGGTTAAACAAAAAGAATTTCACCTCACTGAAATATTTCAAAATAGGACTGCACTTTGAACAAAATTGTGTTCTTATATTTGATATAATTTATAGAGGCTTATAGTATACAGGATGTTAATTAAAAGTATTTGAATTTTCACTAGTTTGTTACACCTTATTTCTATTGTTACACCTTATTTTTAAAATAATGTAAGAGAGCCCTAAAAATCAATATTAACAAATTTTCAAAGAATTAGGACCGTGAAATAATTAAAATTGTTGATATTTTGATATTCAAAGTTCCAAAAGGAGGCTTTACACTAAATTATTACAAAATATTTAATTATTTTAGTTGTTTTATAACACAATGGTTCTTAATTGAGCTTTTTGTACAAGAAGAAATATTGATATGATGTATTCTTTAAACAAAGGACAAGTTTTAAATTTTTAACTATGTTTTTGGATCTTCTAAATGTGTGTTTTAAACTTTTTTATCGATATTTGTTGTTTTTTTTCGTTTTTTTCTTTTCTTCAATATTTCCATCTTCCTATACGTTCTATAACTTTACCTATCTCTGCTTCAATATACGTTTTTCAAAATTTTTTTATGGGTCATTTTACTCGCTTCTAACATCTTTGTTCCTTATTTTCCGTCTTTATTTTGTTTTTTTGATTTTTTTCCTCATTTTTTTTAAACTTTTTGACGTCAGTTTGTACGATTTACGTTTTTCTAATTCTTGTGAATGTATTTCAAATCTTTTATCTACGGTTTGAATTATTTCTTACATTTCCTAATTTCAAAAAAATGTTCTTCTTCTCATTTTTTTTCGTTTCATAATATTCTAGTTTTGCATATTTTTACTTTAATAAAAAAAAAAATACTTTAATATGGAGCTAGTAATTTTCTTTCTTCTCAAAAATTATGATTTAGTTAGGTACATGAGGATTCATAAAAACAACGACAAAATGAAGAAAAAATTTTTTTTAGAAAAATAAGCAATGAATTAGGTATAGGTTGATTCGCATTTATGTAATATAAAGAACTAAGAGAAATGGTAATTTCGATTCGGATAATTTTGCTCATATTTAACTGATTAAAACAAGAATATAATAATAATTTATAAAATAATTTATGGTTTTTACATTTTACTTTTATCAGATGATCATCGTGCAAACGACATAATTTTCTGCCCTTTCTGTTGTTTACAAAAAAAAATTGCTGTTTACCTACACTAGACAAAAATATCTATACAAATTCATTATTATTTTTTTTAGAAAGAAAATGAAACTCACAATGTTACAATTTTGAATGAATGGGGTTATTAATTTACTTTTTTCCACTCCAAATAAATGTCTTGATCTGAAACCACTCACATTTTGCATTTTAATTAGTTTGTAAGACGTCATTATGAAACAATTCTCTATAACAAATCGACGCTTCTGTTAATTTGCATTTTAAATGAATCGAACGTTATAAATAATAATCGACACTGGGCTTCTCCAAAACCGTTGAATACAGTTACAAATGTAGCGACTTCTCGTCGTAAAATATCCAAAAGTGACAGCAAGCAAGTGTAGAATAATGATATCTCCAAGCTCGATAAATAACAATTGCCTAATTCTTTTAATGACTACTAATTATTTCGAACAAATGAAAAATGTACAAGTCGAGCCAATCACGCATCGAAATTATATTTACAGCTGTCCCATAAATTAGACAGAGTTAAAAGCAGTAGATAATTCTCAAGTGGGATGATCACGTGGGAAAAGTATCTTCCACGCTTATGTTAAAGCCACATTGCGAAATCTCATTGAACATCTTGTAAATATTCAATACAAGGTTCTTGCACGGTATGTTAACAAAATTATAATTGTTGGGAAGGCCGCTGATTGGCTTAATTATTTTTAATTAATTATTTTTTCCAGGTTGCCCGTCTTGGATGCATCCGAAAGTGAGTACAAGTTTTCAGTGAAATTTGTCAAGGACTTCATAAATGTCACATCAACCAAGATCTGTTTCTTGCTGTTAGAAAATATGGTAATTTTTCTGATCGATTCGTGTTTTACAGGTTTTTTAGCTAAGTGTGGAACGAATAATTGGATTATTCATGACATTTTAATAAAACTTTGATAAAACACATCAATTTGCAATTCTGATTGCTGTCATAATTTGTTTAATATATTTTCTAGTTGACGCCAATTAATAAAGTGCCGTCGTTTAATTTTTTTGGGCTGGGTAGGCGATTATGGGTCAATAACCACCAATTTTTAAAACTGTAGTGTTATTGTAAATTTTTCAACCCACCTACTAGGGAACTATAGTTTATTAGAGTACCGATTTTGGGCATTTAAGAAATTATTATCAGTTTGGTATTAGTTGAAGTAAACAAAATTTTTTATGTAAAGACTTCCAAGAATGGAATGATTCAACAAATAATAATTTCCGACGTTTTTATAATTTTTTTCAGTCATTTGTCTTCTAAATTGCTAAATATTTGTAAGTGATTTTTTTATGACTAAATGACACAAACCTTTCAGGCATGGAGTAAAAACTCTGTCTTAATTTTTGTTGATGGAAGAGTGGATTTTACCCAAAATATTTGTTTAATAAAACACGAAGTTAAAATGAAAATGAACTGAAATTATCAAAAAATAATTTGTATTTTCTTTATTGTTTATCTTTATTCTATTTGTTGGTATTGAAACACCACATAAAAAAAAATTAGCAAAGTCAAAAACAACTAAATAAGTTTCAAACTATAAATTGAGCATATCGGATTCAAATTGCCAAAATAATTTTAGAAAATTATAGATAATGAGTAACTAAGAAACTGTTTAATCAAAATAATAGATTTTCAAGGATATGTTTTTTATGTAATACCAGATTCCTGATAAATATATATATTTATTTTTAGTTTAATTTATTTAATTAAATTTTAATTAGAGACACCTACGTTGATATATCAAATAGTTCGAAAAGTAACAACAAAAAGTTGTTAGTAAGTAAAACAAAATATATTAATTTTTCAAGAACTGAAACATCAGTGAATAAATTGTTTTTGCAGTTTATTCACTAATTTTTGGACCAATTAGTTTGATACGAGTGTGAACAAAAGAATTTTTTGCCATTAAACTTGAAATCCAAATTGAAATAAGACTTAAATTATAGAGGATTAAATCTTAAGTGGCCTAGTGTTTTTTATTAATCCGTAGTGGGTTCATATTAGAAAAAGTTATAATCATGGTAATTTGGATGAAAGTTTTTTTTAATTAATATTATAATTATTTATTAGGTAATTATTATTATTAATTATGCATTTACAAGTCATCGAATAGAAACCTTTGACAATAATAAGAATAAATGAAACTGGTATAAGAAGTAATCAAAAATATTAGTTAGATTGTGAAATGGAGTAGGTATGTATTTTAGTATTTTATTTAATTTAAAAAAAACATAAACCGTACGGTTTTTTGTAGTTATGAAGTTGATAGGAAATTTTATTTTATTTCTTTTTTGTATTTAAAATATTCAACGTACGGTTTTTGAGTGGCCACTAATAATTCAGACTTAACGAAATCCATAATAGATGACTGTAAAATTGTGCAACTGCATTATTAATTGCATTCTTAGATTAATAGTGGGTAGTTGCAACCGAATTGTGAACATTCCTTGGTTTGTTTAAAACGACTCTATACTTTTTTAAAAATTGGACTTAATTATTTACTAGAAGAATTTTAAGTAATTTTGAGATAAGTTTATAATATTTTCAATTCAATTATTGATGATAATTGTTAGTATAATATTTAAAAAAAGACACTTTCCTCCAGTGTAATACACATAATTTATTCTACGAGACAGTTTCGCCATTAAATGTAACAGCATGTTTTTGCGTTTCTATAGGGGTAAAATTTTTACCTACCTGGGAGGTCTTTCGGACATTAGGGTGGAAAAACTTACTTTCTGTTAGGGTCGTAGGAAAAGTATATTACGTTTTTTCTGCAATCGCAATTTTTTTAATTAACCAATATTGCAGTTTACGGACTATTTTGCGTTAGTTTATGTCGTTCATTTTTCAGAAAAAACATTTAAAATCAGGTTTTCGATCTAGAATTAAAATTAAGTTTGGCCACTTATCTGTGTAAATTTGTAAAAATTGACTTGTGTAAATCTGACTTTAAACATACAATTGTTTTTTTAGGGACATATCTACTTCAATATAAAATACTTCACATATGAAATCTACTGCGCCTGTCACAATTGTTGACACAATTTAGTTACTTCTGCTGCCAACATAGACACAACCTCCACACTAGAGGTGGCCAACTTTGCAATAAATTAAATGGCCACTATGAATTGAGCGCGACTTTAGAAAGAAAAAAAATCTTCCAAAAAAAATTGACCATCAATTACAATTTGTCGGTTGTAAAACAAACTTTATTATTATTGGAGTCACTGGAATGACCTAATCAACACTTCTAACATTTTGCTTATTTGATTTCTGGGTACCTACGCGAGTCAAGTTTACAGTAAAAAAAAACCTGTTGTAGAAATTCAACAGAAAGCGATACATAACACTAATTTAGAGTTAAATTCTGACATTGACATAGTATTTATTAATTATAATAAATTAAAACAAGTCAGTCAACGAAGCAATCAGACAAAATACTTTTTCTTGGCTGTTGTTTCCCAGAAGTCGCTTAATATTCCTCGCAGCCGTTCGCAGTTTCGCTAAAATAATTTCGATTAGGTGCAGAGCAAATATAGACATTAAGTAGGCGAACTGGAATACAATCATGCATAACTCGAACTTCATGACAACATCTGAGATAAAACCAGCTCATTCACGTCGATTTTTCCGCGTAAGAAGCAGGTGTTGGTTACATACGTGGAAACCGCGTCGTCATTTCGAAGAAAATTAGAAAACTCAATGTGAAATGTCAAATTTGGAAACCGTAACGATGTGGAGGTCGCGGACAAATCGGGAAATGTGACTAAGATACGGCTTTTTTCTGGGACGGGGATGGAGTTGTGGACCTCGATTATTATTATTTGTGAGGAGTCATGAAGAGTGATTTGGATGGCCGATGAGGCGCCAACCTCAAACAGTGATAGTTGACCGGTGTTGGGACTCGCCTTGGACTGATTTTGCCAAATTTGGTATTATTTTGTACAATGTAAACCGTTATTTCATCACTCTCTATAAACGATAGTGGCAGATGGACGACTAATGGCTTCCAGTTCCTACGGAATTGTGCTCACCTTGGACTCGGGCTGAATTTTAACACTTTGATACACTTGCACGCTTCATTATGACGTTAATTAATTAGTAAACAAATTATAATTAAACTTGTTAATTTCTGTCGCAGAAAATGTGACGGATGAATCACCACTTAGAGGTGACAAAGGAGGACCGGAAATATTATTTGGTTTATTACTATAAGGGTTATTTTTTTCAAAGACTCGAGCTTGCAAATGGCAGTAACACAAACTTTACTACAAAATAACGTAACCAGAGCCTAAAGCTCTACAGCAGAACCTATCGCTCGTTTCCGGGCAAAATCCGGAGGTTTTGGGTAGAGTTCCTATATTTGAATTTTTATTTCTAATATAGGAACTCTAGTTTTGGGAACAATCTGTTTATTCGAAATCCTATCAATCCAAAAATTAAGATCTTTTAGTTATTCGTGTTCTACAAACTAACAAAACAATATCTTGATCAATATCTTGATCAGGTACTCTTCGAAAACAAAATGACAAAAGAAAGTACGAAAGACATTCACGAAAAAAGTGTTGTTTCAGTTTTGATCTAGGTGTGTGATGGCGATATTCCTTTTAAATAATGAGTTTTTAAGTTTTTATAGTTATTCTTGGGTTATTCTTATTATAGTCATCAAATTTAAATACGTCTATTGACGAAGCTTGGTTCAAAATGATCGCCGTTGGATTTTCCATGTAAAATAAAAAATGCCGCTTCAAGAAATATTGAATCTAATTAACCTCAAATGTCGATTTATTTCGATTGACAGCTGTCACTGTTGACAGAACTATTTACGGTTCAAAAAGACTAGAGCGGCACAGAAAAATGTTTATATAAAGAAATTCCATAGTCGACTAGATAAAAATCATTTTAAAACACGTAGTATATTCTCGTAAGATTTATAGTTTTAAAAGAAAAAAAATAGTTCTTTTTTGAAAATAGTTGGATATTACGACATAAAACTACTAGAGTATATAGCATATTCTATAGACTCGACTTGATTTTTGCAATAACTTTTTTAAGGTCATTTTGCATTTTAATTAGTGATAATGGAATTATAAAAAATGGATCTCTTCTTTTCCTAATTAAGTTTTTTAAAAACTAGTAACCAAAAGCGTTTGGTACCACAATTTTTTGTATACACTTTGATATCTGAGAATATTTACTAAAGTAGTTATTTTTTTCCTAGCGCATTACACTCCCCAAAAAAGATGTCAATTACATTCCCAACATTTTTAGAAAGCTGAATTTATTTTGATGTCATAGATTACCGATAATTAGTTAATGTTATGTTATGTTAGTAAATTTATGGTCCTTTCTATTAGTTAAAATTGATTCATTGCAGATATCCTTTTAGCACGACTTGTCGTGATTATGTAAAAAACTTTAAATAACCACATTACTACACCAGATGAATGAAATAATTGATGGTGGTTTTGACACTATACACATGTCTGCTCATGCATTAAAAAGATTACGAACTAATCCCAACATTCCGGACAAAATTTCTAACGAGTAAACGAACCGAGGGCAACGTCTCCACAAATTTTTGTACCAAATATACAGGACGTCCCACAAATAGTTGAACAATACAACCTTAGATAAATATATTACAGTAGAATCTCTGTAATATGAATTAATTATGTATTGTTGCAACAGGCTTCTTAGGTCGCTTTTTCAGAATACTTATCCACTATTTTTTTATATGACATGATAATACTTCTTATTAGAACAAAGTTGCCCAGTTTATTGTCATCTGTTTTCTGGGATAGATACTCAATTACAGTTTTTTTTTTAGTGGGACACTGGTATATTTTATTATTTTTGAATTCCTCGTTAAAATGTGTTTTAACAAGCTTACTAACAATTTATTATCTATCATTAACTACTTATTGCTTTTAGACAATTTGAAAATTACGTAAAATACGTAAAACAGGCCATAGAAAAAATAGAACATTTTTATTCATTTTAGCTGAAGCAGGCAAACGACTAATAGATAACAAAGAACTGTTCAACTTTGATCAAAAAAGTTTTTAAAAATAATGACTTAGAGCGTTTTTTATAATCCAATCTGTATAACAAACAAATGTCTGAATAAAAACGTGGTCAGGTCAGGTCAGGCTCTAAACGTATGTCTTGAATAATAACGTCAACCGCTTTGTTTTTTTTTCTGTGTAAGTATGTGAATTTCTCTAAAAAAATGTTTTTACTATTCTTGATATTAAATTAATTTGGGAATAAAAATAGTAAAACATTTTTTTTTATTTCCTAAACAATATGAATGCTAAAAAGTTAAGATAGTATCTACCCATAATCCATACAGGGTGACTCAATAAACATGACGATTCAGATCAAATCAAAATCAGAAAATATTTTTAAAATAAACTTCTTTTTCTTTTTGTTTTAATATCTTTCAACATTATTTTTTTAATACTTCATACTTAAAATAATGAAATCTCGATAAACTATTAAATTTTTAGTCAGTAATAAATGTACAGGGTAAATCAGTTGAGATGAGTAGGATTCTAAATTTTTATTTAAAAATTAAATTGCATTAAATGCTAACAATAACTAGAGACTGAAGTTTGAAAATCATTTAAACACTTCTTGACTGACTTAATTAAATTCTATTAAGATCGTGGGCAAAATAAAAAAAAATAAATATGTATTCGAAAAACTAAGCGTACATATTGCAAATAACGATGAGACCCACTTTAGTAATATCCAAAAAGTACTGTAGAAATATTCTGATGATGACTATGTTTGAGAACAGTTTTTTGTTAAATCATTTTGTATTAAATTTTAATTAACGAATTACAGCCGACTGTAGCAATATTACACAAAAAACAATAATTATCGATAATTTTCGATATAAGATCTCATCTAAATCACCCTGTAATTTGTGTAAGTTAATTAATTACATTTAAAAAACGTATGACGTCCTTTCGATTTTGAGAAAAAACTAAGAATGTTAAAAAAATACTTCTGATGTAAAGGTGATTTAGCCAAAAAGACCCTGAAATTGTAATTTGCAGTTTCTATTTGAATATTGAAATTTGAAGCACAAAGTAGTAAAGGATTTTGAAAACAATAATTATTAGATTAGACAGTGACAGTAAAAAGTACCGTTATTTTTAATGAATCATACTGTATATGTACAGGGTGCTGCATTTTGGATGTCCGAATAGGGAATCTCCGAAACTAAGAGGTTTAGCTAAAAACGCGTAATACATTCATTTTTTTGATTCATTTTTTGAGGAAATAATATTGGTTAAAATCGCATCTCGCTATCGTTTTTTGTTTTCGACTTATAGACAAAAGTTGACGTTTTAGCGAAATCTAAAAAAAATCATATCTTCGTTATTATAGAAGACACAGATTTGAAATAAAAACATTATACTTTTTTTCGTAGAATTTAATAATGTAGTTAACAATTTTTTTAGTTGTTTGTTTAACCGTAATAAAATAAACGTGTATTTCTTTAAATGGCTATGTATAGATGGCTATGTCATTTTTAAAAAGCTTGTTTTTTTCTTATCTAAAAAATATATATTTTTTAGATCAGAAAAAAATAAGCTTTTCAAAATTGCTATAGCCGCCTATGATTTCCATTAAAAAAAATACAAGTTTATCTTATTACGGCTAAACTAATAACTGAAAAAAATTGTTAACTACATTATTAAATTTCTCGTAAAAAAGTGCCTGTATAATGTCTTTGTTTCAAATCTGTATCTTCTATAATAACAAAGATATATTTTTTTTTAGATTTCGCTAAAATGTCAATTTTTGTCTATAAGTCGAAAACAAAAAAAGATATCGAGATGCGGTTTTAACCAATATTATTTCCTCAAAAAATGAGACCCAGAATGTACCACTCGTTTTTGGCTAAACATCTTAGTTTGGGAGATTCTCTATTCGGACATCCAAAATGCAGCACCCTGTACACATCCAATTTTAAAAAAATGGGAATAATTGTGATCACTGCTTTAAAAATTGGTAGCATTAAAATAATTATTCTTTCTTTTCTACTGTATCTAGTTTCGTGTGATGTTTACTCAATTTCTCCGTTTCAAATATGTGAATTTGCCCCTGAGTCTCGATTGAGTCACTCCACCATCTGTTTCTCGTTGCAGCAATCGGACGATGGATTCGAGGATCGGCCTGGACTTCATCGTGGAGAATCCTGAGTACATCAGGAAATTGGCAGCAGCTCTCGACACCAACAATGTCACCGTCAAGAAGCAAGTCTTTGAGCTCCTGTCCGCGTTGTGTGTACACAACGAAGAGGGTCACGCGCGCGCCCTTGACACTTTGGAACACTACAAGGTTTACATGAGTCACATTGCAGATAATTGCCTCCCAACATCTGCCTCAAATTCCCCAAAAATCCCACAATTCCCTACCGAAAACCTCACCCACCTCAACTGAAAACGCAAGTTGGAGATAAAGCGAAGCTTTGTAAATAATTTTGTTGCAGAAATTAAAAGGTGAGAGATATAGACTGAATGTGATAGTCCAGGAGTTGAGCAGGGCCACAGCTGTGGACTACCAAACGGCCCTTGTGGCGTTTATCAACTGCTTGATTATTTCCACGCCGAGGCTCACAGATAGGATAAGAAGACGCAACGAATTCATTGGTAAACCTTTATTTTTATACAGGGTGCGCCAGAACTCGCGTCCCAGAAAAAAATGCCATCTAATGTACGGCACCTACAAGAATTTCAAAGTTATGAGAGTCTAAATTTTACACTTTGACTTAATTTATTTTTGTTAAAAAAGTAATTTTCCCAAGTTTTTTTACGACAGGCTATTACAAGAGGAAACAAGGAAGTTGTTTCCTAAATTGTAACTCTGTTTAATGTTATTTGTGGCTTTTATTCTCAAAATTTTTGTACTTCTACTAAATAATTATAACAAAAAACCTATACAAGATAATCAGTATCATTAACTAGTGAAAAGAATGTCAAATGTCATAAAATACATGTCAAAATTTTTGACAGAAATTTTTTTAATGTTCCTGGTATCTTCTCTTATGAAGAAAAAATACACGGATAGTTTGACCCCTGTGATGAATTTTTATGTTTCACCGCGTAATTGGCTGAAATAAGTGAAGAAACGTGTCGAATCACATTCAAGTTTCTCCTCTAAATTAAAGAATTTTTGCGCTTCGAGCGAAAAGACATTCATGATTAGATCGAGTAAACATAGTTAAATATTATTTACAGTGACGCTCTTTACCATAAATAGTCATAGATTACTTCCTTCTAGAGAACAAACGTTGAGAATTACGTAAGAACAATATCTGTCAAGCGCCTTTTAAATTTAATCAAAAACGAAACGTTTTTCTTCTAATTAATTCGTTGAGAGTTTGAGTTACCGATTTGAACGATTTTCGACCGGTTCTTGTCACTTCCATTAAATTTTATCCATGTTATTTCCTTATACTAAACCGACATTATACATATTTATGACAAGATTAATTTCAAATTTTTATTAATGCGTTGCTAGTTTTGCAGCTGTGATTTTACATATTGACAAATAACGTGTCAAATATTTTGATAATGGATTGTAAAGAAATCATGAAAAAATCTGTTTTCCAAATGAAACAGAAAATCAACATTCACTTTTTTTTTTAATTTTTCAGTTGCTATAGGTAAACTAAGATTGCTTTGTAAAAAAGACGAATGGTCTCACTCATTTCACTAGTTTCGAGACTAAATACAGAGTGGTTATAAATGATTTTCATCTAGCCAGCTTTGGAATTTTTTTTAATGTAACATTATTTGTGCCGCTCTACTTTTTTTGAAAGCTCTAGTTCTGTCATTAGTGTCACTTATAAATTAATAATAAATTGTTGTTAATTAAACTTTTATTGTTTCAATTTCCAATAATAATTGATAATATCGTATACTTTGGAAGAAAACAAGTTTATAATTGAAGTCTATTTTCGAAATGGACGCTTAGTAAACGGCGATTTTTTAATTTTGAGTTAAAACAAGTAGGTGCCCCTATTTTCGTAAAGCGGCATTTTTTATTTTACATGGAAAATTTGTACAATAAACTGGGTATTATAGGTAAAAAATGTACCTCATTGGGTGAAATTTTTGAAATATTTTTTCAATTTGCGTTAAAATGAATGACAATTTTAAATTAATGACAGCTATTATATTTTCCTATCAAAAATATGTACATACAACTTGTCAACTATGATTGACCAAAGTATTTTGTCTCCAACTTTACAATCGAACATTTAATTGCTAAAAACAATAATTTGCTTATAAATACTGTGTAGAATTTTAAAGATTAAAATGTTTACTCTATAAGATAGTAATTACAAAAATGTCTCGTTTGCTATGCTTGTTTTCTATAATTTTGATGAAATGTCGTTAATTATTTAAGGACACATTAAGAGACAAATTGAAAAAAAAACTATTAAAAGAAATTAATTATTAAAATAATTTAAATAATTATAATTTAATAGAATAGATACATGGTCTGTCAGAAGTAGTGCCCCAGAGAAAAATTTCAAGTTAGGGACATGAACAAAATATTTAAAAAAATCAGTAAAAAAATTTTGACATATATTTTTTTGACATTTGCCCTTTTTTATATCTTTTTAATGATACTGATAATCCCTTTCCTGTTTCCCCTTTCAATAACCTGTAGCAAAAAAAACTTGGAAAATAATTTTTCCAACAACAAAAATAGAGTCAAAAAAATTTTAACTCTCATAACTTCGAAATTTTTATAGATAAATTTTTTTCCATGTTCCTGGTATCTTATACCTTACATGACATTTTTCTCTGGGACGCGAGATCCGAAACACTCTGTAGAAATAAACATTTTTATATTTTTTAATTTCTGTTTCTAATAAAATTTAAAGAACTTTTTACAACAAAAAACATAATAAAATAAGTTATAATTCCTTAAATATCTCCTTTTTTTAAATTCCATCTCAGAAATTTGTAGACTGGGAGAGAAAAAATCACAGATGTTTTAAAAATAATTGAATATGTTTGCAAAAATTGTCAACCTTTTGGATAACAAGGTTATGTTGTTGCAAAATTAGTAAATTAAAAAAAAATGTGTCAAAATGGTAGCCGCGGTTAAATTTTTTGGAGACAATTAAACTACCTACGCTTAGGTCAGGGCCATTAGATGTCTCTTTTTGACTAATCAAATTTGTGTCTTTATTTGGTCAAATGACGCGTTCTAAACAGCGTTTCAACATTTCATATTTTCAGTAATTTTATTCAGTTAAAATATTTTCATGATGTTTTAAAGCTGTTAAAAATAACGCTTTGAGATGTGGTATGATTTACAATTCCTTTGAACTTTCCGACAATCTTATTCTTGTGTAATCAAAATAGTTCAACTTCCAAAGTGTCACAGAATTAAAAATATGAGCAAAATCGGGGATAATAAAAATGTCTGACTTTTCTAATATGATATATTTGATTCCAATCACTTTGGCAGTCTGTGGCCGCCGGAGAAGAAAAATTAATCTTTGAAATTCATTGAACACAGCGTGATTAATTTCACACAAAAACATTAGCTAATAACACTGTTAGCATATTAATTTAATAATCACGTTCCATTAATATTCATTTAAAATTTGTAATATGAGATTTCCAGGATAGGCTTGGACGACTTTTGAGATATAATCTGTCGGCACAGCCTCGCCTGATTTAGTTATAATCTATTTAATTTTTATGCAAATGTGCCCAAATTGTGGCCTCAAGTCAACAAATCTACATAGATATGGTTCAAAATAAGTCAAAAACACGTGACTCACCAAAGCTTTGTTCCAAAATAAATCCGGTGGCTTTTGACGGTTATTATTGTTAATTAGGAGTTTACGATTTTAATCGTGAAATCGTCTTTTGGCTTACGTTTGCGTCAGAATTGTAGAAGAATGAGTTCTTAGAAATTTCATGCATAGTAAGTGACTTTCGTCAAATATTTGTATTCATGTGTATGTTTTTTCCAGGATGTCATCTGCTTCCGGTGCTCAACAACTTAAGGTATGTGGATGTTTAACAGGCACTTGGTGTGGTTTTAAAGCGGTCATTTTGCCTTTTCGAACAATGAACTCTACTTCATTTTGGGAAAAATACCAAATGGAGGATTCCAAATTGGGTATCAACAAACCACGCAACAGTGTTTTGAATTTTTTTGAACACATGATGATGCAAAAGGGCCTTTAAAAAAAGACGACTGGTTTTTAATAAATACGGGAGTGATTTTAAAGCATATGCAAATATTTTTCAAGTGAGAGTAGAACTCAAAGAAGTCAAAATAACTAAACTTGCCTTATCCGAATGTTTATAATTTCTGAAGCCATTATGGCTTTGTAAAAATTATCAATAAATTGCAATATAAACGAAGTTTGAACCTTTTGAGTACTTTATCCCAAAGTTTCCATTGCTAGTTGTTAACAAAAAAAAAATAATTTAAAATTTTTACCGTCTTATATTTTCTTATATGAGGACACATTTTCTCCGCCTGTTTTTATTTTATTTTTATTTTATTTATTAACCTCATATTTGCACATACTTTAAAATCACTATGTATAAAAAATTGTTGTTGCCCTTTAAGTGTATATTTCGAAATAATTTTAGTCGGTGCTAATTTGATAATATTATTCAGGGTATTTAAAAAAAAAGTTAAAAAAAAATTATGGACCGATTTCAAAAATTAAAAAAAAAACAATTAAATGGCTTTTAGTATAGTATAGGCTGTTAATTTTACAATTTTTATAAATGTCATAGTATATTTTGGGCTATTTTCAACTCTTAACTTTACTGATTTAATTTTTTGATCTCAACGTGGAGACATTTTTTTACTTAGCAATTTTTATAAATTTCTAATAAGGTCGGTTTCTTTAAAATACGTTTGATGTGATTTCTAACGTCGAATTTTTGAGACCACACAATTAGTATTTATTTGATTTATAGAAAATAAAAATTTTAAAATACACCGTAGACAAAATCGACAAAGTACAAGTGCCAATGTGGTAAGAAAGAGGAAGTATAAGAGATTATTAAGCGATTTATTCTAAATAACTGTGTGTACATATTAAAGAAAAAAGATGGAAAATATTTGAAACAAAAAATAATTATTTTGGTTAAACACTTTCTATTTTCTGTTATTTGAACAAACGAAAATTCACTCACCAAAAATAAAGTTTGGAAGGATTACATACCAGGTGAATAAAAAGGATGGAACCAAAAGTTTTTTTCTTAAACTATTTATTTTTTGGAAAAACTAATTGTTGAATGATTAAGTACTACAAAAAAGTGATGTTTTATCAACAATAAAATTTTTCGAAATTTTCTTCTGTTTTTGACTTACTACAAAAAATATTTTTTTTAAATGGCAACCCTTTATAAAATCATTTTTCTCATGAAGGTTATGATCTAAGTATTACAACTATCTACTTTATATTTAATTTTTTCAAATTTTTTTTTTACATAAATTATACAAATACAAAAACAAAACAAAATTTTGTTCGCAAAATACGATCACATATTTTATATTACTTTAATTTCTATTATTATTTTATGGAGGCAAATGATTAAAAAAAAGCGCTTGGTTCCATACCGTATATTCACCCTGGCTTTTTGTGCTTAGCTAATTTTTCATTTTTTGGAGGTGTACTTATACAGGATGCGCCAGAACTCGCGCCCCAGAGAAAAATGTCATGTAAAGTAAGATACTAGCAATATGTAAAAAGTATTAAAAAAATTATCTATAAAAATTTCGAAGTTATGAGAGTTTAAATTTTGCACTTTGAGTCTCTTTATTTCTGTTGGAAAAATCATTTTCCAAATTTTTTTGCTACAGGATATTAAAAGAGGAAACAAGGAAGCTGTATCCTAAATTGTAACTCTGTTTAATGTTATTTGTGGCTTTTATTGGCAAAATTTTTGTACCTTTACTAAATAATTATAAAAAAACATCTACCAGACAAAACACATACCAGACCATCAGTATTTTTAAATTAAAAAAATATCAAATATCAAGTTCTAACACACCCTGTATTTTTAAGCTTTTTGTGTTTCAAACTTTAGACAATTTTTTTTTATTTACAGATTTTTATAAGCCTCTCGCCTTTGTTTAAAAAACTAAATGATTCCCAAAGTTGAATTTCTAAAGTGAAAACATTTTCAAATTAAAAAATTTCCAGAAAATGTGCCGAAGCCGAGCCCGAGCTGGCCGTCCAACTGGACGTGTTCGACGAGCAACGCGACAGCGACGACTCCCAGAGCCTTCAGGGCCCCCACGGCGTAGACCTCAACTCCCCCTTGGACGTCTTCTACGCCATTTTGAAACAAGTTGCGGAAACCCCCCAAGAAATCCCCTTCCTCAGCATCCTGCAACACCTTCTGCGCATCGACCCCAAAGAAGCCGTCAGCGACATCATTTGGGACACGGCTGAGCGCCTCGTCCACCGAGCCACTCTCCTGGAAAACCGCGAGGATGCCGCCCGCCTTTTACGCGCCCCCAGCGCCCAATCCAAATTCTTCTGCCATTGTCACCTCCGTTCCGAGTCTAGTCCCACCAGGAGGCAATCCCTGAACACGCCCCAAAGCCCCACCCCTGCGCCAATGGGCCAACCACTGCCACCCCCTCCGCCACCGCCGCCGAATATTCCGGCTCCGCCTTCCATCCCGCCTCCGATCCCGGCGCCGCCCCTCAAACCCGCCATGCCCAATCCTCCGCCCCCCGAATGCGATTCTGTGATAGAGAAGTTACCCCAACAGGAGATTCCGGCACCAAAAATCAAAATGAAGACGTTTAATTGGAATAAAATACCGAATAATAAGGTCATAGGGAAGAATAATATCTGGACACAAGTGGCCTACAGTCATCAAAATTCGCCAATGGCTGATTTGGATTGGTTGGAAATGGAGGGGCTGTTCTGTCAACAGACACCCCCCACGAACTCTTCGGCGAGTTTGAGACGAGAAACTGCAACTTCGGATACTCTAGATAGAAGAATACGGAAGGAAAATTGCGAAATTACGCTGCTAGATGGAAAAAGGAGTCTCAATGTTAATATTTTTTTGAAACAGTTCAGAAGCTCAAACGAGGACATTATCCACTTGATTCGTGAAGGAGAACATGATGATATCGGGGCTGAAAAACTCAAAGGCCTTCTTAAAATATTACCAGAAGTTGATGAACTAGACATGTTGAAGTCATTCGATGGTGATTTCAGTAAACTGGGAAATGCGGAAAAATTCTTGATCCAATTGACAAACTTGTCCAAGTAATACTAAACCCACTAATTATTTTCACAATTACAAATTTACATTTTTTTAGCTACAAACTACGAATAGAAAGTATGCTCTTGAAAGAAGAATTTGCTTCGAATATGAGTTACTTGGAGCCTAGTATCAAATCGATGATTATGGCGGCTCAAGGTTGGTAACTATAATTCTGTCGCTAATAATGGTCAATTTTGTTGAATTTTTAGATTTGATGACAAACAAACCGCTCCAAGAAGTTTTATACATGATTTTGGTTGCTGGAAATTTTTTAAATGCGGTACGATATTCACTTTTTTCTAATTTGTTTATTTTCTGGTATTTTTAGGGTGGTTATGCCGGGAACGCAGCAGGTGTTAAATTGAGTTCTTTGCAGAAAATTACAGATATTAGGGCAAATAAACCAAATATGAATTTAATACATTTTGTGGCGTTGGTGAGTATTATTTTTAATTCATAACAGATTTGTGTTTCTTGTTTTATTTAATCCAGATTCTGAAATATTTCTTATCCTAGGTACTGATTTTGTTTTATTTTTCAATAACAAAATTTTTCAATTCAACAAAAATGTTTTTTACGTTGCTCCAATCTCTATACAGGTTGAATATAAAGTATTGAACCAAGCGTTTTTTTTTAATCATTTGTCTCCAGAAAATAATAATTAATATAAATTAAAATAAAATAAAAAATGTGATCGTATTTTGAGAACGAAATTTTGCTTTGTTTTCGAGTTATGCGATTTTTTTGTCAACATTGCAATTTATGTCTTTTTTTCTAATTAAGTATAATTCTTGAAAAAAAAATAGTTTTACAGTGGGTTGCCATTTAAAAAAATATTTTTTTATAGAACTCATATAGAAAAGAATATTTCTAAAAATTTTATTCTTAAAAAAACATCTGATTTTTATAGTACTTTATCATTTATCAATTAGTTAAAAAACGTTTGGTTCACCTGGTATAACAAAATAGGAATTATCAAAATATGTATTTGTCTAGTCCCAATTTTTTCAGTCTTTCGTTTTAGGTATTTTTTTTAATACCATCGTTATTTTTTATATTGATTTTCGGAAGTTATTTAATTTTTTTTGGAAAAATTTCACTTTAATGCTTCTAGAAGTTGAACATTTATCATACAATAATCAAATTTTATTACACATCGTTGGTAAACAGTTTTTTCTATTCGACGTGATTTTTACGTGACTTATTTCCATCAACACACTGTACTATATTTACAGTGTGTTGATAAAAAATCATCAAATTATGCAGTTTTCATATTTTGATTTTTAGGTGAAGTCTCCTATTATACCGGACGAAATCGAAATAAATGCACAAAACAAAACTCCTTGATATAAAAGTACTACAATTCTGTATCTAAAAATTTTTATTTGAATTTTATTAATTATTAATTCTACCATACGCCACTGACATAATATCGTGGAAACAGAATACAAGCTGATTCTCGACACAAAATCTTTCCAAAAAGACGATTTACCATTGAAAAATAGCGTTATTACCGCACTGTGCTTATGTTTAAATATGCGGACTTATTTTGATTTCATCCTGTATAACATAAACAAAAAACAATATTTTTGATTGAAACACTGTATCTAACGTTTAAGTATAAACTAGTTTTTTGTTAGCTTGGAGAAAATTTACAAAAATGTCGTTTTTTCTTTCTTAAACTTTAGTCTTCAAATCTTCTTTATTCATCATTGTTTTCAAAATACATTTGTTCCAGCAAGCCGAAAAGAAAAACTCAAAATTGTTAACCTTCACCGACAACATAAGTGTCCTAGAAGATGCGGCAAAGTAAGTCAACTTTCTTTCCTTCAACCTCAAAATGACATTAATTCTTCACAGAACAACAGTGGAACAACTCCAAAACGAAATCAACGTCCTCGACGTCCGAATAAAAAAAATCAAGAAACAAATCGAACTGCCAACAACCGAGCCCGAAATCAAAAACCAAATGACCGAATTTTTGCAAGTTGGTAACCTCAACACTCATTATCAACAATCCAATTAAAACCAATATTTCCAGATGGCCGAACGAGAAGTATCAAACTTGCAACAAAACATGGTAGAGTTGGAAAAGGTCCGAGTGCAACTGGCCGAATTCTTCTGCGAAGACACGAACTCGTTCAAACTTGAGGAATGTTTCCGGATTTTCCACGGATTCTACTGCAAGTTCCGACAAGCAGTGGGCGAGAATGAGAGGAGGCGGATTCAGGAGGAGCAAGCGAACGCGAGGCGGCGCCAACGGGAGGAGTTGTTGGCCTCCAAACGGAGACAAAGTAAGTGTTTTATTTATTCATTGGCAATTGGTTGGTACACTTGTTTTAGTGGAAAATTTGGGGGGCACCCCCGACTCTGACGTGCCATTCATCGACTTGCAAATATACGACAGCAGGCATGGTTTTCCGATGAAAAAGGTAATTTAGATTTTTGCCCCTGTCACTAGTAAATTCGGTGCTTCAGGGATGGAAAACCACCAATGGGACATCCGAAGACGAGCTCTCCTCAGTGACCGGTTCCCCCTCTCTCTCGCGTCGTCGGTTGGGGTCATTCAACGGCGATCCGGAGAAATCCCCCGATATCACCCCCAATGGGAGTCTCCGGCGGCGCCGAAGCCGAGTTTTGTCGGAAGAAGACGAAGGAAATCTCATGGACTTCCTCCGGGCGTCTGATAATAACAGAGAACGACGGTCGTGGGGGAGTCTGGACCGGTCATGGGCTCGCAAAGCTAGAGGTGGGAGTCAGAGGAAAAGACCAGCTTTGTTAGGAGCTGACTTCACGTCGGACCGAGAACGGCCCTCATCGCCCTCACCTCTAAGCGAGTCGAAACCGATTGTGTCAACTCCCGAGGAGGAAAATAGCAAACCCAAGGAGTTGAGACAGAAAATTGAGTCGTGGTTACAGGCTAGTGAGAGTGACCAAAATGAGGAAACTCGGAGACAGACTCGGAGAATTACGAATCGGAGATCGTTTGAGATGGATTCAGAGAGTGAGAGGAGCAGTACTTTGGACACTTTGCCTGAAGGAAAGCAAGTCTATAGTGGCAGTCAGTCGAATTATAGGAAAGCATACCCAGCTTGGGAGCCCTCGAAGACTATAGACAACACGGATGTTGTCAGTGCGATGGAAGCAGTTGAAGAAGTCCAACCGCAAATCAAGGACAAGTCAGCTTGGCGCAAATCGACCTTGAATGTTGCCAACAGCACTGAAGAAACTAAACACGATTCATCAGTGAGACTAACTCGACATTTACCACAAGTGGTTGAGAACACAAATGACCGGAAAACGCTGATTAGCTCTCTCGGGGAACGCTCCCCTACCGATAAACTAACTCTCTATATTATCAAACCGAACGAAAGTCCCAAGACACGCCTTCGGGACTCCCCTCCAAGCCTCGAGGACCAAACCATAAGCAACAAAGTCGAAATAGATCAAGACAATATTGAAACACCTCCTGCGACTCGCAAGATTTTCATCCCCACGCCCACTGAGAAGCGTGAACCGACTCAGCCCAGCCCCTGTCGCCGCCTCATGGGTCGGCCACGTGACACGGACGAGCCCGAACCCAACCCGACTCTCGGTGACGGTCAATTTGATCGTTTTTCGGCCGCGAGGCGCACTCGAAGGTACAAACGGACCGACACCGATCCCGAGGAACCCAAAGACGAGCCTGAGACCCGCCTTAAGGCGTGGCAAGACAAACTACAAAACCCCAGTAGGCGTTACCGGCACCAGACCGGCATTAACCAGGAAGACGTCAAGTTGGCACTGACTAAAACCGAAAAAATCGACATTCCGAGGAAAAATGACGATGAGGGGTTCGAGGAGAGTCAGAGTTTGATGTCGGAGTCGCCGAGTCAGGGGGCGTCATCGGGAGGGAACTACGAGCCGGACGACTCTGCCCTTGTGTTATACACGAAACCGAAACCAATCAAAAGCGAGCCGCAGGTGAATAAACCAATCAAGACTGGTCATGGGCGGGTCTTGGAACGGGGCGGGGTCAGACGCACGGTGCAGGAAACGCCCAAAAAGAGTGTGATTCCCCGCAGGTCAGGGAGTTTGCGAAAAACTGATTCTTCGTCAAATGTCCAAAGGTCGAATTCGAGGAATAGTATAGTCAGTTCGAAAAGTTCGTTAAATAGCTCGGCCTCGGCTTGTACGGTTAAGAAAATGCCGGTTAAAGGAAGTGTCACCAAAGTCCCGCCCCCTAAACCTGTGAAAAGGACACTCTCGACTGGAAGTACGACAGGGACTCGACCCCCCAGGCCCTTGGCTATGTCTTTCATGAAACCAACAACCTCTAGCTCGACAAAAGTACACACAATGGGGACCACGGCCAAAAATGGCGTGTTTAGAACAAAGTAATCACTCATTTTTTTCACTAGTCAAAAGTGCATTATTTAGGATATTGAGGGTCCATCGAGTGATAGATGGACGAAACACGATAAAAACTAAATCATTTATTCCTACAAACTTTGACAGTCTCATTTTTTCATACAGTATTATGACAAATCACAAAATAAAAGACTAACCTCAACTCACCTATTTAGGTACCGACCACATCAGAGCTTGGTAGCGATAATTTATTATATATTTTTTTATGATTATACTTAATGAACTAATAACTAATAATGACATATTTATTTGTTACCAAATATTTACTTGTAGGTAATACATCTTCTATTAAAACTCTTTGTTTTATTGCTTGTCAATGTAGAATTTTTCCCCAAACCATTCCCGATGCTCGTTTAAATAACTAAAACGGAAACCAATCAAAACAAATCACAAAATACAAAAAAAAAATACTCAATAAAAGAATTTAAGTGTTGTAGCAAAGCCCTCCATTTTTTCTCATCGATGGTGGCCGTATTTAGTAGTTCGGGTAATTTGACAAAAAGTCGGGTCAGGTGGGTGGCACCAAAGACGAGACAGGGGGGAGGGGGCTGTTGACTGTACACGTGTTCAGGTAGGAGACGTAGCGAAATTGGACGCGAGACAGAACTGTCATTACTGTCAATACTACAAGAGGAGCGAGTCATTAAAAGCCACTATCGAGCACAATACAGATTTTTTTCTACTACTGTCTACAGTAAAAAAATCGTATTTTGGCCCAATTATTTAGTTTACATTGGAGTAAATCCAATTTGATTATTAGATTAGATAAATCGCAGCAGTAGAAAAAATATGTTAGTCTAAATCTGCACTCACCTTGAACTAGGTTTTGATTTTGTACTATCTTGAGTATTACCATTGGAAACAGAGTCTATACTTTTATTTGATCTTAGACTTCTCTTCCTTTGCAAGGCTTGTCTGTTACCATTTTGGTAATCATCATCATGGTTGTGTGGATTCGTTATGTAATCCATATAACTGACTTCGTTTTTTGAACTACAAATATGTCATATATTATTAGTATAGCGAAGCGATTAATTCCCTCATTTACTACGTTCGCTGGTAAAAAAATATTTTAATATTGAAATAAACTGACCTTGACACGTCTTTATCTAAATAGATAGAAGAGTACACAGCCTGCTTTGTTTCGATTTGACCCTGCTCACACTTATACAACAATAAATCATTGATTGTGTAATCAAAATAAAGACGGATGCCGTCTAAAACCTCACTACAAATATTTAAACTACAAAAAGAAATTTAGTGACAAAACCACACACAACGTTTCATTACTTTCTTTGTACATCTTCAGGTCGCCTCCTTGGTGTATTATTAAACGGATACCTATGTCTTTGATTAGTTTTTTCATTTAAATCGCTAATCTGGCTGTTGGCGTAATGTCGCCAATAATTTTCTAAAATTGTTACAACATTTGGTTCAGCCGGCAATTTCACCAATTTATTTTTTGTGTTGATTAGGTAATAATCTTGCTCAAGACAGGCCCGTAGTTCGGGGGTGAGTTCAATAGGAACGGATTCTTCTTCAATTGAAGAATCGTCCTCAGAACTGCTTGTCACACCTTGTCCGTCATCTGTATCCATTCTTGCGGGGCTTCCAGAACTACAGTCATCAGAAGAAGGGGCTGTTGTGCTAGTTTTGCGGCTTTTTTTCCGGTCCCGCCTATATAAATATGCCCCTCTGGAAATTTCAATTAAAAACGCGCTTACAAACAAAGAATTATTACAATTGTAGTTGGGATTTTTCAGCTAAATCTTTTTGTAATTGTCTATTTTCAGGAGTGTCTTTTAGAACGTATTCTTCACTAACGTATCTGTCCCATGAAGAATTCCAGCCCTAGAATGTTTTCAAATTAATTTGAGTTAAAAATACCGCGATAATTACTTGAAAATGAATTAAATATTCGACGGTTTTCCTTCCACGGTGGTCCTTCGTCACAACTACGTCTAACACCTTGAAAAATTACAAAAAAATACAACATTTGTATTGATTATAAACAACAATTTTGAGGTTATGTTACTCACTTTTGAATCATACAAGACTTTGGCTTTTGTCGGATCAGGTTCGTAACATAATACTCTTTCGTTTTCACTGAATTTTAATTTGATACCTCTAGTTGACACCATATTATCGTATTGTTTAGTTTATATTTGGTATTAAATTCACTTTTTTGTTGTCATGCTGGGTTTTTAGTGATTTTTACCCTTATTGTTAGAATGTTGGTAGGTTCTAAAAGATTAATGGCGCTCTTTCCAAAATAAAACAAGAAAATTTATTCAGGAATTAACACAATTTGATTATAATTCCAAACAAAATCAAAAAAATTGTTATTATAAAATAAATTCGGAGGCACAACCTGCAAAATATCACAGTTATTCCCAGATCTGTAACTCTCATCAATTATTGTGAAAACCTGTCTATTTTTTTCTAAATCACCCTCACACAGAACAATAAAACCGCTCCTGTGAATGTAGATTTGTTTAAAACATGAAACCAGAATGAACATCAAACCGACAAGAAAATTAGTTAAAAGTGGAACCCCAACAATTATAAAATTTCTCTTATTTGAATGGAATATTTGATAAAAAACGTGTTTCTGAAACTCACAATAAGCATCAAAATTCGAATCTAGACTAATAACGGTTGAAGTCGCTTTTAGTTTGTTTTCAATATGTTTATAAAACGGACCGTGTGGTTTTATTTTATTGAGAAACTTATTATCTTTAGAGCAAAATCGCGAACTTCTCACTTGATTAAATCTTTCACCTAATTTTACATCCAAAATATCACAAGTTATATTCATTTGAATTAAATTTTCTACTTCAAATTTCGCTACTCCGTTAACAAACTGAATTTTGTTGATTTCGTTTGACAAAAACTGTGATATATCTAAAGCGGACACAAGCTTAAAATGTTGCGAAATGCTCCTTAGCTTGTATTTATTTATGTAACGATTAGCGACGTATACTTTAATTTGGTGTATCCTCCCTGATTCGTTTTGAGAATCGTTCTTAAAAAACTTAATATTATCGACAATGTGCTCTATTTGTTTTTTCATGAAAAAGCCCGAGATGTGCAACAATTGGTTAAGAAAATCCTTGTTAATTTTATTCAAATCAAACATTGATTTATGTACATCAAAATGACCGGTTTTGTACGGAAAAATCAGACTATCCCAAATTTTGTCCAACACTTTTAGGCCTTTAAAATGTAGGCAAATAACATACACCTCTGAGTTTCCACTTTTCGAAGACCCTGGCTTAAAAACAGAGACTTTTCCGAAACAAACATTCAACAAATACAATAGACAGATGGTTGAGTCTTCAAACATCGTAAAAATTTTCAGTACAAAAGAGCCACCTAAAAAATAGGATTATTTATGTTTCAAAGTTGTCAATTGTATACCAGGCTTGAGTAGAGCTAAGCCAGTCAAAGTTTCACAATAATGGAGAAATTCCACGTGTAATTCTTGATTTCCTGGGTCAAAACTGCAGTCTACACTGCCATCAGCAGTCACAAGCCACACCTAAAACAAATATGTAATGTTTCAACAATTTTTTAAATTTGCGGTTAGTACTTTTTGGGGTATTTTGTTTACTAAATCAAGATGGTTGCAATATTTAGTTATATTTCCTGTAAAATCAATGCCGAAATACCAGTTTTTGTAAGTGTGTCGTAACAAACGATCGTCGGGAATCATTTCTTGAAGCGAATTGCCTTCATAATCTGGATTTAACGTATTGGCACCCCAATTCCACTAAAATGAGATTTTTTTGCGTTAATAATCCAAAAAACTAATTTCCTCACCTGTAGATTCAAATTGTGACTGACAATGTAGTGGTTTAAGGCACTAATAAAAGCCCCAGGGGCTTCACACAAGTGAAAACTTGAGAAACAACCAGACGTGATGGCATCTTTTGGAATTAAACTGTAATTACACAAACACTCGTAAAATTTGCACCAAGCCTGCAAATAATTACTTCAATCTTCATATAAATTGTGCCCCCTACTGTCTCACTTGTGTTACAAGCTCCGGATGGAATTTTTGCTTGACGAATCTGATAATATAGCTTGAAGGGTCTCTATGTTTGGTGTGGCGAGACCATTCTTCGAGGTTGAACTGGTTTAGGAGACTTTTGGTACGGTTAAGTTCTTCTTTCTCGTTCTGGAAGGACGGTATTGACCATTTAGTGCAAGTGTAGGCTTCATCGGGTAATTCCAAAGAGTCGTTATTTGCAAAATCGATTTTTTTGTCGAAAAGGTGTCTTATTTTCTTGGATTTGTTCATAACTGTGTTTTTATGACTGGATTTTGGAATTTGTGTTCGACATTTTTGAGGTTAGCTAAATTGACAACCTGATTCTGACATAAGTTGGTAAAGATGGGCATAAAAAAATAAGTTAAAGATCAATTTTGAAACATTACGCTAAGTAAAAGAATTATCACTAAAATGCAATTAAGTAGGGAAAGAAACAAACTCAAAATGAAAGTATCACATTTTAATTGTATATTTTAATTAATCATTGTATTTTGAAACACGCATCTTAAATTGTATTATGGGTTGCCGACCTTTGTTGTTTTGTAAGAGATTGTTTAAAAAATTATTAATATTGTATAATACAATTTTTTTGGCAACTTTGTTGATGTTTTTTTTAGAAGTTTTTTCATTTGATTTTTTGGTATCTTCACTGGTGGCGTTTTTTGAAGTTTCTATGGTTGATCCATTTTGATTGCTTGTGCTATCATAATTGGTGTCATTATTTTCGTTACTTCTGTCGTTTTTGCTATTTTGTTCATCTTCTTCGGATTCCTCCTCCGTTACGTCCTCGTCTTCTTCTTCGTCATCGTAATCGTAATTATCCGAGGTAGTGTTACTTGGGAGCTCAGTTGTTTGTATTGTATTCGATGGTTCGCTAATTTCAGCAAGCATTTGAACAAGATCAGCAACATCTTCAGTATGATCAACAATTTTAGCAATATTTCTGATAACTGCTAAAGTACCTTTTTTTGTAGCTTGTTTGGATGCTTCTTTAGTGGATACTTTGGCAACTTGATTGGCAGTTTTTATGGCAACTTCTTTAGTTGTTTTTTTAGCAACTTCTTTTGACGCTTTTTTGGACGATTCTTTAGCGACCTGTTTAGCAGTTTCTTTGACACCTTGTTTAGTGGCTTTTTTGGACACTTCTTTGGCCGATTTTTTCACAACCTCTTTGGTTGTTTTTTTAGTAATTTCTTTTGCACTCTTTTTAGAGACTTCTTTTGTTGCTTTTTTCGCAACTTCTTTAGTTACTTTTTTAGCTGCAGTTTTCGAAATTTTCCTAGTTATAGGCGCTGCAACTTTTACAGCTGCCCTGGCTATAGGCGCTGCAGATTTTACAGCTACCTTTGATACAGCTTTCGCGATTATTGGCACTACAGCTCTCAATGCCATAAAGAATCCATGTATGAGTAACGGAAACTAGTAGCAAAAAGAAAAAGACGTCGGAACAGTTATTTAATAAACAAGTGTATTAGTTAAAGAGAAAAGTTTTATAGTATTAGTTTATTACAATATTTTTCAGTTGACCTTAGTTAATTAATAAAACTCACTAATAAACGGTCAACGGAAAAAAATAGAAACCAGGAGTTATAGAAATTTACTTACGAATCTAGGTCTCATTTCACCATCTTTAGCATCTTTAGGTATTCCCTCTATCTGTTTTACAAAAAATATGAAATGGGTATACACTACATTTTACCTACTCACCAATTCTTTCGCTACGTTTATCAGCTTCTGTCGTAAACAAATTTATGTAAATATTTAAAACAATTATTTTATCTAAATTGTATTATTCTTTTATGTAAATTACTTACACTAGATAGTATAACTTTTTCCTAAAACAAGAATCGTTTAAATTAATATTGTGTTTTTTCTTTTTATATTTACCGAATGCGAAGTGTTATTTGCTTCCTACAAGTCAAACAAAAATCAATTAAAAATTATTAAATTATTATTTTTTCTTACTGTTGGAAATCCATTAATACAGCTACAAGCACCTAAAAGTAAAGCAATAAAGGTAAAAATCATTGTTTTTATTTAGGTACATATTTTAAAACGGCCTCCCTTTTATAAGAAAATTCTCGTTATATTTTTATTGATCTATTATTCTAAATATAAAATTTCAAATTGAATTTTTACTTGCTTTGCATTTTTAGTTGGTATTAAGTACAATCAAAATTTTGCTACTTTATTACAAAGATAACATATAAGGAAAGAAATTTCTCCCTGTTAAGCACTTGCAATTACATAACCGTTTTTTAATTACATCTAGTGGTTGTTATTATTTTTTTGGCTTTGACAAATGTAACTGACATATTTACACATTTTTGACAGCTACGGTATCTCATTTTTATTAAAGTGTCAATAAGTTTACCGCACCGTGGAGGAAAATGACAAGAAACTTTTAAGCTTTAAGGAATTCCGGGATTAAAATTGTTGTTTATTCCCTCGATTACATAAATAAATATTTCTCATTTTTTAAAATCGAAAATTATAGAATTTTCACTTTTTCGTCGGCAGTTTTTTTCGCATTTTTTAAAAGTTGATTTACAATAGTCTTAACTATTCTAATTTGCTTGTAACTGACGGACCTGCTTGGATTTTTATCAAATGCCCTTAGCTTTTCTTTTTTCAATAATGCTTTTTCTTTTTTTAATTAATTTAAAAAATTCAAACAAAAGCGACAAATTTATGAAGCACGTTGTAAACTTAAAATTTTAATCTTTGTAAATCGTTTTACTGTAATTTTACTTATGTATAAACTAAAACACAAAAATAAAGAGACAATGTTTTTTATATTTTTATTTGATTTTCCTTTTGGTTTTTTAATTGTTGGTTTCAGGCAATAGCACCAATCCTGTTAGTAACTTTTTAAGAAGTTTTTTCACCTGATTTGTTAGCAACTTCGTTGGTGGTGTTTTTGGAAGTTTATCTGGTCGGTTTCTTGTTAAATTCAGAGTGGGCGTTTTTTCAAGTTTTTTTGTTGATTCTCCTTGATTGCTTGTGTTATTTTTGGCATTATTTTCGTTATTTTTGGGTTTTTTGCTATTTTGTTTATCTTCTACGTTTACGTCCGAGGTAATCTTCACTGGGACCATAACTGTCTGTCTTGCTTTTGTTAATTGGTTAATATCGGCAATCACTTGAACAACATAGGCAACTTCAACAATTCTAGTAAAATTTTTGATAGCTTCTAAAGTACATTTTTTTGTAGCTTCCTTGGTGGATACTTTCGCAACTTGGTTGGCAGTTTTTTTGGTAACTTCTTTGGTCGTTTTTTTAGTAACTTTTTGTGCCGCTTGTTTGGTCGAATTTTTGGCAACTTGTTTAGTAGCTTTTTTGGAAACTTCTTTGGCTGATTTGTTGCTAACCTCTTTGGTAGTTTTCTTAGTAAATTCTTTTACTATCTTTTTAGAAACTTGTTGTGTTGATTCTTTTTTATCGTCACTACTTAAACTTTTAGTAACTTTTTTAATGGTTTTTATGCCACCTGTCACAACTTTTTTAACTGCCTTAACTACTGGCGCTACAACTTTCGCAATTGCCTTGGCTACTGGCACTACAACTTTCTTGATTACTGGCTTTACAATTTTCTTGACTACTCGCACTACAAATTTCAGTGACTTAGAGAATGCGCGCGCAATTGAGCTCCACTAGTAGCAAAAAGAAAAAACATATTGGAATAACTGTTATTATTTAATAAACAAGTGTATTAGTGAAAGCGATTAATAATCAAAAAGTTTTATAGTGTTATAGTCAAGAAACGAGATTATTAATCACTGATTATCTAATGCAAGAGTTTCTTGCAATATTTTTCCGTCGATCTAATCTTAATTAATTAAAAGATTCCTAAAATGTAACTATTCCTACTATTTTAAAAAATCACTTGTTAATAAGGAATTATTAATGCATAATTTTATACACATTAATAAAACTCATTAACAAACGGTCAACGGAAAAAAATTGTTTTACCAGTAGTTATAGAAATTTACTTACAAACCATCTAGGTCTTATTTCACCATCTTTGGATATCTCATTATCTGTAGGTATTCCTTCCATCTGTTTTACAAAAAAAAATTGTAATGTGTATACACTACATTTTACCTACTCACCAATTTTTTCGCTACGTTTATCAGCTTCTGTCGTAAACAAATTTACGTAAATCATTGAAACAATTATATTTTATACAAAGTAAATCATAAATCATGACTTTTATCATTTTATTATATAAAATATTTATTATTTTATGTAATTTACTTACACTAGACAGTACGGTTTTTTCCTAAAACACGAATCGTTTAAAAAAATATTGCATTTTTTCCTTTTGGTATTTACCGAATCCAAAGTGTTATTCGCCTCCTTTAAGTAAAACCAAAAACAATTAAAAATAATTAAATTATAATTTTTTCTTACTGTTGGAAATCCATTAATACAGCTACAAGCGCCTAAAAGTAAAACGATAAAAGTAAAAATCATTGTTTTTGTCTACATTCATAACGGTGTTTCTTTTATAAGAAAATTTCTCGTTATATTTTTATTACTCCATTATTTTAAAATATAAAATTTCAAATTGCATTTTTACTTGCGCTTTGTATTTTTGGTGGGTGTTAAGTACACTCAAAGTTCCATTGATTTTTGTCATAAAATAAAAGCGAAATTTATGGCAAAATTAGTGAAAAAATATTTTATTACAAAAATAAAATGTAAAAAAACTTCACTCTATTAAATACTTGCAATTACATAATGTTTTTTTTTAGATACTATAAAATGATAATAGTTTATTATACAAGTAAAAAAAGTTACATTATCTGTGAGTGATGTGTTTTTAAAACGAGTGCATATAGGGCGAGTTTCAGAAAGGAATCAGAAGCATATAATGCCAACTTTTCTTTAAGTGCATACAACGTTTTCTCTTATAGGTAGATTCATAAAAAAATTAATTGAAATAAAATAAAATATTATTATATAAAATTAAATAAATATTGGAGTTTTTAACAAATTGCATTTCACAAGTGGCGTTTAAAACAGACATAAATTGTGAATGGTAAAGTGTTGTTTAAGACCTAAGAGCCCCATATAAAAGAATTTTGAGGAACTGTCCTCGGCTAAAACGTTTTTGCATTATTTGTGTTAGGTTTTATTAATTAAAAGCATTCAGCTTTGCTTCGTGCTACAAAATATTAAAATTTGATGCTGTAAAATTACACCTACCACATTTATAATGAAAATAACTATTTGTTACTGTTGGAAATGCATAACTGTTTTACTACTTATAACAGTGAAATAATTAAAGTAAAAATCATTGTTTATTTAACATTTATTATGGCAAGAAAATTTCTCGTTATGTTTTTATTTTAAATATAAAATTGGAAACTGCGTTTTTACTTGTTTCGAATTTTTAATGGGTATTATATAGGTACAAACAAGAAATACAAAAAATGTAAATGTAATATGTAAAGACAATGTTTTATTACAAAAATAACACACATGAACAAAAAAATGTCTCTCTATTGAGATTTTTTTGTAGTTACTTCGGTTGATTCTGCTTGATTGCTTGTGCTATCATTATTGGTGTCTATATTTTCGATAACTGTTATTTCTTTGCCATTTTGTTTATCTTCAACTGGAACTTCGGTTGTTTGTTTTGCTGATACTAATTGGATAATATTAACAAGCTTTTCAACAACATCGGCAATATTTCCAACAATTTCAGTGATTTCAGCAATATGTTTGATTACTTTTATAGCACTTTTTTTGGTCGCTTTTTTAGCAGCTTTTTTAGCTGCTTTTCTAGCTGCTTTTCTTGCTGCCTTTCTAGCTGCTTTTTTGGCCGATTTTCTCCCAACTTTGATTTTTTTTCTTCTAATCTTTTTGTTTACATTTTTCTTTCTTATCTTCTTGATTGGTTTTGTTGCAGCTTTAACTGTCTTAGTTCCTGTTTTAAACAGACCGCCAAACTAGACGCAAAAAGAAAAACATATTAGAATTATTATTTTTTGTTGATTTTATTAATGATTTAACTTTTTACATTTTTACTCATTATGGATTAAAAAGCATAACCAATAACTCTGTTTACTTGCTAACGGATTCTAACGAAATTTAAAATGTAGAGTATTTAGTAGGTAAAGATTAATGTCACATTACTAAAACAGCCCTACCCCTTAAAATGTGATTATAACATGTCTTTTAAAAATGCTAAGTTAGTTAAAAACAGAGATATTAAACCCAAAAGTGTCACGTGGGACACTCTGTGTATTGAGACTCATCCTGTATGTATTAATAAAGCCCAATAATAAATAGTTAACGAACAAAGTATGTCATCATTAGTTTTAGAAATTTTTAGTTATAGAAAATAAAAAAAAGAACTTTTTACTTACTATTCCTCTAGGTACTATTTTCACATCTTTAGATGTTCCTTCTTCCTGTTTTATAAAAAAATATAGAATATGATGACTACACTACATTTTAACTACTCACCAATTTTTTCGTTACGTTTGCCAATTTCTTTCGTAAACAGATTTATATAAATATTAACAATTGTACAGTTGTAGCCCTTGAAAACTAAGACATTTTAACTTTTTTTGCTATTGTAATAATTCGTAAAGTGTAAATTAGGTTTTTATCAAGAATGATAATGTCAGTTTCAATTTTTCGGATTCGAATAGTGTTACAATAAAATATTACTTATTTCTACAAAATTTAAGTTCATTGTTTGAAGTTTTGGATTTGTCAAAGTTTTCAACGGCCGTAATATTTTATTTAAAGTACTTACTTTAGGTATGAGGAGGTTTGTCTAAAATAAAAAAAAAGTTTAAATAGATAGTGCTTTTTTTTCTTTATATATAAATCAGGTATTTACCGAATCCGAAGTGTTGTTTATTTTCTATAATTAAAATAATTAAAAATAATTAAATAATTTTTTTCTTACTGTTGAAAATCCATTGATACAGCTACAAACGCCCAAAAGTAAAACGATAAAAATAAAATTCATTGTTTCTTTACAACAGTTCAAGTACAGTAGTTTTTCATTTATAGAAAAAATCTTGGTAAAAGTTTATATTAATCCATTACGTTAGATATAAAATTTTAAATTGCATTTTTTAGATGTTTAGGTTTTTAAGTAGGTNTTAGGTTTTTAAGTAGGTTATAATAAAAGTATATTATAATAAAATTTATATTAGCCACTAAATAAAAATTTAACAATATTTTATGACCAAATTTGGAGAAATAATTGTATTTAAAACAATATTTTATTAGATTTAGGAGAAAAAATTAAGTACGTAACTTATATTATCTGTATATCTGGTGTTTTAATTAATATGGGTAAAACACAAAAGATTACGACTTAAAAAAATATTATTGGCAGCAGTTATGCCGTTTTAATACTTTTGAAATATAAAGACATATAAAGCAAAATGACTTTTTATGGTAATAAATAGACTCTTAAAATAATAATTAAAAAAATCTGTATAAAAGGAGAGTTTGAATGTTGTTCAAAAATAATAGCGTGGAACAATGAGAGTTACTTTTACTCTTTTAGTAGTGTGTGCTTGTGCTTTGGCTAATCCATTATTGGTAAGAAAATTATAATTTTTTAAATTGCAATAACTCTCACTTCTAGTATGAAAATAATGTTGAGGAACAAGTAAGTACGTGGAAAAAATTAACAAAATTTGACAAATATTTTTAGCAAAAAAGCAAATTTGAAATAGAAAATCACAATAGGGTAAGTTGTATCCGAACTGTTGCAATTTTTAATTATTTTGTTGCATCAGTATCGAAGAAATGCAGATAAACCTGCTAAAACAACAACAAAAGAGGAAGACAAAAAATTAGTAAGTTTGAAATATATTTTTTTAAATAAGAATGGAAAATGTTTTTATATTAATTATTACAGCCGGCTGATGAACCTAAAACTAACGCCACAAAAACTGTAGAAGAAAAAGTGGTAAGTTTCCAATTCTTGATAACAAAAATAATAAAACATTTTGCCACAGGATCCAAAAAACGATGAAAAAAATGGAACTACACCTAAGGTAAAAAATTAACACTAAAATTAAGAAAACTAGATTTTTTAATTTTTTTTACCAGCCGAATAAGAAAAAATCAAAGAGTGATAAAGTTGGTGCACGTAAGTATTATTATCGATTAGGCAAATAAGATGGAAATATATTTTTTATAGGAAAATTAGACGTCAAGTGAGTAAAATAAAAAATTAAGTAAAAAATTGTATCAAACAATTTGTTTAAAAAAATTGCAGAAACAAACAGGACATGAATATAAATGTTAACCTAATCGTCCCGTAAGTAAAAAAAAATGTAATTTAATTGTTTTGTAATTCCTTTTGTTATAGTAATCCCCAACTTCTTCTAAATAAGAATGGGTAAGAAATAAGCAAAATAATACTTCTAGCTATTTATTACACAGGTAAAAAAAACTTGATGGTTTTCTAAAATGAAACACGAAAAATTTACCAAAATCTAATAGTTTTCCATAATAATAAAAAAAAAATTTATCAATCAACTATACCGCGTGCGCCAGAACTCGCGCCCCAGAGAAAAAATTCAAGTAAGATAAGATACCAGGATACTGATGATGTTGTATATGTTTTTTTTACAATTATTTAGTAAAGGTACAAAAATTTTGCCAATAAAAGCCAAACAACATTGAATTTAGGATACAGCTTCTTTGTTTCATTATTGACTTATTGTTACAACAGAAATAAGTAGAGTCAAAGTGCATAACTTCGAAATTTTTTTAGATAATTTTTTTTTAATTTTTTTCATTTTTTCCATGTTGCTGGTATCTTACCTTATTTTCTGTGGGGCGCGAAATAGTTACTATAACATTATTGTGTCTAAAATGTAAATAATAATAATAATAATATCTCGGCATTTTGTGAAAGTTGACAAATCTTTTTATAACAGTTTCTGAATTTAGTAAAATTTCTGATCCAAGATTAGTGTTGGAAAAAATTTGAAGACAACACACTGAGTCTGTTGGCAACAGATTTGAAAGTGTCAAAAGCGTACTCTAAAAGCTTTAAAAATTAGGGTCAGGATTGCCAACATATTCAGTCATTGCAGATCACTTTGTATTTATAATTACGTATTACAGAAAACCCTTAGTGGAATTAAATGCTAACCAAGGGTAAGATTTCGAAATAATTAAATACTTTTTTAAAATACTTTTATTTCAGAATCACTTCAAACGCCGAGTTAATATCTAAAGGGTAAGAATTTAATATATTTTTTTATGATTGATTTAAGTTATTAAGTAAGATTGAACAAGTTAGCAACTTATTTAAATAAAAATTAGTTTCTCATATTAGTATCAGTTTTCTTTTTCAACATATTTTAACAATATTTTATATTTATTTATAATTTGTTTCAGAAGTGGGACAAATCCAAATGAGCACGGGTAAGATTTAAAAAATTAAAAGGTTTTTTGATATATATTTTTCTAAAAGTGGATGGGGGTCAAATCCTAATGGGTAAGAGTAAGAAATGAAACATAAAAAAATCTAAATAACCTATTTCAGAGGAGGGTCAAATCCGAGTGGGCAAGGGTGAGAATTCGATAAATTAAAAAAGTAGTTTATTTTATTTTTTTTGTATAAGCAGTTGGGGATCAAACCTGAATGGGTAAGAGTGAGAAATTTAAAAATAAAAAAAAAATTCTTGATAATCTCTTTCAGAGGAGGATCAAATCCGAGTGGGCAAGGGTGAGAATTTGATGATGGGTGAAATTAAAGAAATAGTTTTTTTATATTTTTTTTCTAAGTAGTTGGGGATCAAACCCGAATGGGTAAGAGTGAGAGTTTTATGAATGAATTTTTTTTTTTGATACTTTTTTTCAGAGGAGGATCAAATCCGAGTGGTCAAGGGTAAAAATTTCATAAGTTAAAACAGGTTTTTCTAAATACTTTTTTTTCTAATAGTGGATGGGGATCAAATCCGAATGGCCCAGGGTAAGAATTTAACAAATTGGGGCTTTTTTATAATTTCATTCAGTGGAGAATCAAATTCAAGTGGGCAAGGGTAAGAATTAAAAAATCAAATTTTTTTTTCATAATCTGTTTCAGAGGAGGATCAAATCCGAGTGGGCAAGGGTAAGAATTTGAAAAAGTAAAATGTTTTTTTATATTTTTTCCAAAAAGTAGCTGGGGATCAAATCCAAATGGGTAAGAGTAAAAATTAGAAAAATAAATGCTTTTCCTTTATATTCGATTTCAGAGGAGGATCAAATCCGAGTGGGCAAAGGTAAAAATTTCATAAATTAACGCAGTTCTTTTTTTAATATTTTCATTCTAATAGTGGATGGGGATCAAATCCGAATGGGCAAGAATAAGAATTTTCAAAATTGAAATTTTTATTTAAAATTTATTTCAGAGGAGGATCAAATCCGAATGGACAAGTGTAAGAATTTAAAAAAGTAAAACATTTTTTTTTATATTGTTTCCAAGAAGTAGCTGGGGATCAAAGCCGAATGGGTAAGAGTAAGAATTAGAAATATTAAAGGTTTTCTTAATATTTTTTTTAGAGGAAGATCAGATCCGAGTGGGCAAAGGTAAAAATTTCATAAATTCACACAGTTGTTTTTTTAATATTTTTATTCTAAAAGRGGATGGGGATCAAATCCGAATGGGRAAGAATAAGAATTTTCAAAATTGAAATTTTTATWTAAAATTTATTTCAGAGGAGGATCAAATCCGAATGGACAAGTGTAAGAATTTAAAAAAGTAAAACATTTTTTTTATATTMTTTCCAAGAAGTAGCTGGGGATCAAAGCCGAATGGGTAAGAGTAAGAATTAGAAATATAAAAGGTTTTCTTTATATTTTATCATAGGGGAGGATCAGATCCGAGTGGGCAAAGGTAAAAATTTCATAAATTCACACAGTTGTTTTTTTAATATTTTTATTCTAATAGTGGATGGGGATCAAATCCGAATGGGCAAGAATAAGAATTTTCAAAATTGAAATTTTTATTTAAAATTTATTTCAGAGGAGGATCAAATCCGAATGGACAAGTGTAAGAATTTAAAAAAGTAAAACATTTTTTTTTATATTGTTTCCAAGAAGTAGCTGGGGATCAAAGCCGAATGGGTAAGAGTAAGAATTAGAAATATAAGAGGTTTTCTTTATATTTTATTTTAGAGGAGGATCAGATCCGAGTGGGCAAAGGTAAAAATTTCATAAATTCACACATTTGTTTTTTTAATATTTTTATTCTAAAAGTGGATGGGGATCAAATCCGAATGGGTAAGAATAAGGATTTTAGAAATTAAGGTTTTTATTTATAATTTATTTCAGAGGAGGATCAAATCTGAGTGGGCAAAGGTGAGAAAAAAATTAAAAAGTAAAACATTTGTTATTTTTTTTTTGAAAAAGTGGCTGGGGATCAATTCCGAATGGGTAAGAATAAGAATTTTTTAAATTAAGCTTTTTATTTATAATTTATTTCAGAGGATCAAATTCGACTGGACAAGGGTAAAAATTTCATAAATTAAAATAGTTTTTTTAATATTTTCATTCTAATAGTGGATGGGGATCAAATCCGAATGGGTAAGAATAAGAATTTTCAAAATTGAAATTTTTATTTATAATTTATTTCAGAGAAGGCTCAAATCCGAGTGGACAAAGGTAAGACTTTAAAAAAGTAAAACTTTTTTATATTTCTTCCAAAAAGTGGATGGGGATCAGATCCGAATGGGTAAGGGTAAGAATTAGAAAAATTAAAGTTTTTCTTTATATTCTATTTTAGAGGAGGATCAAATTCGACTGGGCAAGTGTAAAAATTTCGTAAATTAAAACTGTTTTTTTATATTATTTTTAATCTAAAAGTGGATGGGGATCAAATCCGAATGGGTAAGAATATTAATTTTAAAAATTTAAATTTTTATTTACTATTTATTCCAGAGAAGGATCAAATCCAAATGGGCAAGGGTAAAAATGTCATAAATTAAAACGGTTTTATTTTAAATATTTTTATTCTAAAAGTGGATGGGGATCAAATCCGAATGGGTAAGAATGAGAATTTTAAAAATTAAGGTTATTATGCATAATTTATTTCAGAGGAGGATCAAATCCGAGCGGGAAAAGGTAAGAAAAAAAATGTAAAAAGAAAACGTTTTTTATATTTTTCGAAAAAGTGGCTGGGGATCAAATCCGAATGGGTAAGAATAAGAAATTTTAAGATTAAAGTGTCTATTTATAATTTATTTCAGAGGAGGATCAAATCCGAGTGGGCAAGGGTAAGAAGAATATGAAAAAGCAAAACTTTTTTTTTAATCTATCTATTTTAAAAAGTGGATGGGGATCAAATCCGAATGAGTAAGGGTCAGAATAAAAAAATAAAAGATTTTCTTTAAAACCTGTTTCAGAGGAGGATCAAATCTGAGTGGGCAAAGGTAGAAATTTCATAAATCAAAACATTTTTTTTTAATATTTTCATTTTATAAGTGGATGGGGAACAAATCCGAATGGGTAAAAATGGAACTTTTAAAAATATTCTTTTTTATTATAATTTATTTCAGAGAAGGATCAAATCCGAGTGGGCAAAGGTAAGAAAAAAATTTTTAAAAGTAAAACGTTTTTTTATATTTTTTCGAAAAAGTGGCTGGGGATCAAATCCGAATGGGTAAGAATTAATTAATCTTAAAAATAAAAAATTTTATTCATAATTTACATCAGAGGAGGATCAAATCCGAGTGGGCAAGGGTAAGAATTTGAAAAAGCAAAACCATTTTTTAATACATTTTAAAAAGTGGATGGGGGTCAAATCCGAATGGGTAAGAGTCTGAATAAAAAAATAAAAGCTTTTCTTTATAATCTGTTTCAGCGGAGAATCAAATCCGAGTGGTCAAGGGTAAGAATTAAAAAAGTAAAAGCTTTTCTTTATAAATTATTTCAGAGGCGGATCAAATCCGAGTGGTCAAGGGTAAGAATTTCATAAATCAAAACGGTTTTTTAACTATATTTTTATCCGCAAACGTCTGAAAAATGACCCTTTTATGACTAAATGACACGAGTAAAAAGTGTTTCAGGAGTGGAATATTTTACTTTTACTATGACATTATTGTAGTATAGTATGTTATTTGGGGTAAAAGTTTATGAAGCTCAGCTGAATTATTTGCAAAATAAACGTTCACCTTCGCCACATACACTACCACTTTTACCCTAATAACATAATATACTATTATTCTAAAAGTGGATAGGGATCAAATCTTAATGGGCAAGGGTAAGGACTTAAAAAATTATGGCTGTTTTATAATTTATTTAAGAGGAGTATAAAATCCCACTCTACCAGAGTTTGGATTAAAAAAAATATAACATTTTTATAATCCATTTCAGAGGTGATTCAAATCCGAATGGACAAGGGTAAGATTTAAATTAAATTTTATAAAAAAAAAACTAATTTTGTATAATTTATTTTAGCGTCAATGATCAGTAAGAATAAAAAAATAAAACAAAATAGAAAAAGTTTATATTATTTATTTCAGTATTTGTCTAATGTTATTCGGACGAAGGTAAGAATAACAAAAATAAGCACTAGTGCTATATATTTATTTATTGGTTTCAGAAAGTGTAAACTACCCCATAAGCGTGTGGAAGTGTAAGATACATTAAAAAATCATTTTGTTTTTTTATATATAATTTTAGAGTCCCTAAGCCGACACCGCAAAAGTAAGAATTTGTTTAAAAAATTTTGGAGCTATTATTACAATTTATTTCAGAAAGTGTAAAAAAGTAGGTGGACTATTGTAAGTATTCAAAAAATAAAGAGTAGTTTTATATTTATAATTGTTTTCAGAATCTGTGAACCAACAAATGGAGTTGAAAATGGGTATGAAAAATAAACAAAACTAACAATTCTTACTAATATTTGATTTTAGGCATAATGGCCCATTGAGGAAGAAAACGTAAGAATTTAAGAGAAAATTTTAAAAATATTTATTTATAATTCATTTCAGAAACTGTACAATTTTGAATGGAAAAAAGTAAGAACTAAAATAAAAATTAAAAGTTTTAAGTAATAGATAATCGTTTTCAGAGTTTGTGTAAAAATTCCTGACATTGAAGATAGGTAAGCAAAATAAACATATAAACTTATAAATAATATTGTTTACTCATATTCGATTTTAGCAACAACAAAACAGGAAAAAAGTAAGAATTCGACAAAAAAAATAAATTTTTATTTATAATTCGTTTCAGACACTGTGCAATTGTAAATGGAAAAAGGTAATAATTAAAAAAAATTGAAATTGTATCTTTATAAATGATTTCAGACGCTGTAGCCCAGATGAAGGATTAGAGCACAGTTCTGATTCTGATTCCAATCAAAGTAAAATATAACATACTGTCGATTGTATATAACACATTTTTTTTTCAGGAAAAAAGAAAAAATGTACACGGGGCCCCAAAAAATCGTTGTTCCAGTAAAATAAAATGTATAAAAAATAAATAAATTTTTGTCCGATTTATGAGTTATTTCGTCTCCTATCTGTCTCTAATTTTAAAAATGTTGTTTTTAATTAAATAAATTAAATGCGGAAATAGAAACAATTAAGATCCGCTCCACAAAAAATCGAGGAAAACACTTTGAACTCACCATTGTTCTTATATAATGTTTATTGACACAACATCTACAACTATAGACATGATTTACCATTCAATGGTTCTTCATCTGGAGACTTAAACCGATTCCAGTTTGTCATTTTTAACCATCGACTCACTTGTGATTCTCCAACTGTAAATGTGATACAGAAAACATTTATTTTTTTATTGTTTTTATTTTATTATTCATCTTCTGCTGTATCTTATCAATATTTTTTTTTCTTTTTCTAAAAACATTTTTTCCTATCAGTGTTAATTTACCATATTTTATTTGCAAAATGTTTTACAAATATATTAACAATTTTGGTTCTACATTTCTTTTAAATAGTTAATTGTATGATACAAGTGGCTCAGATTACTTTCTTAACAACACGCGAATTCTATAGGATATTTTATCTAGCATCTCCAGCATATTATTACACAACTGTTAATATTCATTATTTTATTTTTAGATCTTTTTTTTATAGAGTTGTTTTGTAATGAATAATTTTCTTTATAATATTAATGATTTTAGAGTGATTTTGAATTTAGTAAACGAAAGTAGCTAATCGTAGTTGTTTCACCACTTAAATATTTTTATGATAAAACTGCAAAAGTGGAAGGTGCTGATAATAAAATTTTATTATCAGCTGTGAAAATTAAAAAAATAAAAACTGGGTATTATTTTTCTTTTCAAATTTCTTTTGCAATTGCCCATTACTGCGAACCAAATAAGAGCACTATTATCACAATCAAATATAAACATTTTTATTTCTAATAAAATCCATTTTTATTACTAATTATCATGAGTAATACCTTTTTTTACAACAGTGTTACTTAAAAAATGTGTATATTTTTATAAAATTTTCTATACAGAGTGTCTCATTAACGTCGGACAAACTGTATACCTAACTCAAATTCGTAAATGCAAATTCTACTGAAGCAGCATTCATTTTTATATCGTTTTAATAAAATGTAGCTATTAAAAAAACTAGCAACATTCTAATTAACTAGTAGAAAAATAAACATGCACAAATAAGGAACCCCATAAAATCTTTACCTAAAATAGTAAACGTTACTTTCTTTAATTTAATTCTATTTCAATATTATTGCAATAAAACGTTGTCTTCACATTTTTTATTTAGGCACATTGAATATTAATTAATTTCAATTAATTGAAAATGTGGCATGTGGATTATTTATTAAGCACATACAAGACCATTTTCCATGTTCATCTAAAAAAAAATTTCTTTTTGTCATTTCAAGTGGTTATTGTGAAAAAACTTAACTGACAGTAGAAACACTTTTAAAAAACGATGACATGACAATGAAATGACAAAATGAAATTTGGTTTGCATAGATTTTTTTTAATGTTTACAGAGAATAAAAGGACTTTCAAAGAAATTCATACAGAAAAAATCTTGTTCTACGACTTAAACAATTTTTTTTATACTGTTGTGAATTCATTAATTTGTTTTTCAACTTTGACAATCTATAACTTGTAAAGACAGGACCAAAAATCATGTTTATCTACTTTCAATATGTAAAGTTTTGAACAACTGGTCCAATATTTTTGAGACCCTCTGTATCTTCGTTTTACAAATCGAAAGTAAGCTGCCTCCAGTGATCAGCCAATCACAATTATCAGATTTCCATACGTAATTAAGCGCGCAATTGAAAAATTTACGGTTTTTTAGTATCAATATAACGAAAACTAATTTCACTGTTGAGTTTATTTGTCAACTAGATTTATTATTGAAACGTAATTATAATATACGACCCCATTGTTTCCTTTTTACGTTGCGATAAATGGTTGTAGAAAAAATATACTACGTATCAAGCCGGTAATATCATTTTCTTTCAAGCGTATCGATTTTTATGACGTAATTACTTCAAAAATTGGATAATAAAAAATTCATTATTTTTTACGTGAATGCATTAAAAAATCTGTATAAAAAGACTTCTAGTTCAACTAGAAGACACTTGTAACAATGAAGACAATTACTTTCACTGTTTTACTCTTCGGTGTTTGCGCCTTTTCCAATGCATTTTCGGTAAGTAACTTTTTTTATACTTATCTTTTCAGTAAATGCGCCAGTGGTCGACCTGCTAACTTATATTCATTTTTATTGGTTTTAGTTTTACCTCTAATCATTATATATTTACAGTATAGTCATATAGTTTATACAAAGTGTCTTCGAATCGGCGAAACGATTTAAATTTTTATTTTTAGGAGTTTAGCCCTGCATGGTTAGAATAATTTTTAATATAATTTTAGTTATGAAAAATCAAGTATGCCTTAAAAATTTTCAAAAACTTAACTTAGAGTACGATAAAAAATTATTACAAAAGTTGTTCAGAATCAACATCTAAGCCCCCATACCAAATTTCTAAATCATCGGCCAACTTTGATTTTTTTTGTTTATTTCACAAATCAAATAATTTTATTTTTAACAGTTCTTTTATTATGAATAAAAAATCACACTTAGATTATTACTAGTAAATAACTTTTTAACGTATTTGTTACTACTTGGAAAAAAATCATAGTTGGCCATATAAATTACTGAGATAATTTTAAAACTCGCATTACGGTCGTTTTATAAACCTCACATACCTAAATAATAGCATTGTTACGTGTTCGCAGAATAGTATACTATTTTTTTCACTTATTTTTCCGATTTGTAGACTTTTGAGAGAGATTCAGACTCTTCTGAAGATGTAGAAGAATACGGTTTGCATTCTAGAGTAAGTACATATAAATATGAAAATACAATTAAATTTTAATAATTCTGATAATAGAATCGAAGGGCTGCCAATTTGGAAGCAGAATTGGTGAGTAGAAAAAAAAACGTGACTTTAATTTTTGCATTTTTTTTTAGATTAAGGATAATAATATGGAAGGCGACTCTGAAGTAAGTAATGTAACCTTACAAAACCAAACTTAATAAACGTTTTAGGGAATAATAAACTTTAAAGAAGAAAATCAGCACTTGCTTTCAAGAGTAAGTCTTACAAGGAATAATTTATTTGATTTTTAATTTTCTTCTTATTTCAGAATCGAAGAGACATTGTTATTGTAAGTAGTTCCAAAATCGCTTTAATGTAATGAAAAAATTTTGAACCTCCAAATACGACATTTCTTTTGATATTTTTCTAACCTTTTTGGGAAAAAGTTTTTTCACAGTATGTAAATCTCTGAGAAATTTGACAATTTTGTCTTTGACAATTTGAGTTTTTTTTGCACTCAAGTGTAAGTAGTATATCAACCAAATTTATCAATTTTATCAAAACGATCTTCGTTTCAATTTGAAAGAATAGTATATGCCATTCTAAACGAGTTCCAGACTATTCTTTTTTTACGACTAAAATTTAGAATCAATTTGATCAAAATCCAAAAATTTATGACTGTTAAGATGGCGCTACCTGCGACCAGTCTAACACATGTGTGAGAATATTTTCGCACAACCTGTTTTTGTTTGTTTATTTGTTTTATTTTTTAATTTATCGTGTATTTTTTAGCCGAGAAGAAATTTCGAACTTAGTAGTGGTGTGTCACATAACTTACATCACTCATATCACTTACATCAGACACCCCACTCACAACAGACACATCAGTCACATCACTCATCTCACTCAGCTCACTCACCTCACGCACCTCACTCACCTCACGCACCTCACTCACCTCACGCACCTCACTCACCTCAATTACATCACTCGCATCATAAAAAGCAGAGACATCAACCCAGAGAAAACAACAAAAGATTGTCAAATGAAAGAAATCAGAGTCAAGTAAATAATGGCAATGGTCAATGGCATGGGCATGGTTCAAAACCCTTGAGAAAAACACTCAGAAAAAACTCAGTAAGTTTTATGCTATTTAACTATTTTAATTGGTTATTTACCTATTGTGTGTGTTTTAAAAAGCATTTAAGTGACTTAAATACAAATGCACTACACAATCAATCTAAAATATATTAAAATTTAATTAAAAAAGTAATTGACATTTTAATGTCACACCGACTGTGGAATGAAAACTCACCGAAAATTTAAATTGTTTGTGGCTGAAATGTGTGTTGCATTCATGTTTTACTGTGAATGTGAGAATAGTAAATTTATTGAACAAATTCTCTCGGTTTAATTAAAAGATACTTTATAATGTATAACACACACGTGTGTTTTGGGTTATAACATACGTGTGTGTTATAAACATCATAATACGTTTAAAATCAGCATAAAATGTGGATTGTGGACAATTTATTTTGATATTTTGCTTCAATATTTTTATATTTTCTTGTTTTTTTAGTCAGTGTCAAATAATAAATAATAATTATTGTTGAATTTATTATTACAGTTATTTATTGGACGCGTTTGAGTGTAAATCGGACGCTTTATTTCACGAGAGGAATATTATTAAACCACTAATGTTAACGAGTGGTTATATAAACGAACCGATTTACACAAAAACGAGTTGAATACAACGTTTTATTCTTCGAATTAGACTCAACAAGGCTTAAACTTGCTTTAAATCAAAATCTGTTGAAAATAATCTGACGTTTCGTATTGAGAAATATCAAACAGTTGTCTAAACTTTCTTGCACGGGAGAAAAACCGTAAATTTTGGCAGTGTCGAAGAATAAAAATATTTTTTTAAATATACTTACATACTTTTTTAATTTCATTTTTATTTTTAGCTACAAGAAAATACAAGACCTGCTGGCACTTACAGCAGATTGACTGTAAACAATCCCAGTCACTTGAATAGTCGTGTTGCTTATCCAAAACATGGAAGAACAAACAATTACAGAAGCTCAGTAAGTATTTTTGATATAATAACATTATTATTATAGTCGATAAAACATAATTTAATTAATGTTTTTTTACCCAATTAAAATAAGTACTTGGTACATAATAGAGCAGTGTAAAACATGCACCATAATTTATAGAAGCTGAATTTGTTACATGAACTCACGTAAAAAATAGTTCAGTGTAATTTTTGCTCTGATATGATTGGTCTGCTAGTTGCTAAAAATTCAAAATAGGCGAAGCATTCATCTTCTTATTACATTTATGGACTACAAATTTATAAATCGCTTTTGTAATTTTTAGAAGCACGGAAACATCGGGGCATTCAGTAGTGGTGCAGCCAGCCAGAAACCTGAGAATAAAGAAGCCAATGCAAAAGTGTCAAATGCGAAAACTGAGGGAAAAAGTAATAAAAAATCGCAAGTAGCAGAAATAAAAGTTGAGGGAAAAACCAATGATAAAACGCCGAGTGCAAACGTCTCTGGACAAAAGAAAGACGAAAAAACTAAAACCGATGCAAAACATTAAGACTAAGGTGGCACTAAATAAGAATTTTTTAATTTTTACTACAAATTATGGATTTGTAATCACATTTTCTGGGAATTTTATACTAATGTTGCAATATAAAAAAGTATCTAATAAAAATATTTTAGGGTAATTCTGACTTATTATTATTATTTACAACAATAGTTTTTAATTATACAAATCTCCATTCAAAAATTAAAAATTGCAGAAATGCTAGAATTTGCGAAGTTTTAAATTTAGCTACTTTTAAATAAAATGTATTTTTTCCACAAAATAGTATAAATGTAAATCATTTTATTTTTGTTTTCTGTACGGCACGTCCCAAAACGCCTTTACATTTTAACTTTTTTAAAAAGGACAAAATCCTAAAAATTAAGCTGTTTTTACGAAAGTGAATTTTAACTTCGAAACAGCTCGAAATGTTTTGAAATTCAGCACAGCTTCACGAGCCGAAAACGAATTTTACATTTTTTAATATAGGTATCTGAAAAACAGAATCCTTTTTTTTTCAAAAAGGTGCCTTAAAAACAAACAGAATCCTTAAAAAAAATTCAGACTAACAAATAGTTATTTTGATGTTTTTAGTGTTCCACATGTTTTTACTTTCATTTGCAATTTGCAACGGTGGACTTGTGTAATATTCGAATTACTTTGTGACGTTGCGAATGTCAGGATTACGTAGTTACGAAATGGTTTTTGTGCCGTTTTTGCAGAGATTAATACAATAACGAGTCAGTCTTAGCCAAGCTCCCGTACGAATTACTTGAATTGTAATAATTGTCCGGATAAATTATTACTTGTTTGGTGGTTCAGTGCGAAATTGTGTTGAAATGGGAGCTGTACACCGGTGAGTGTGTGTTGTGTATTTTCGGGTATCTAACAGACATTAAGTAGTGCGCAATTTATAAAATTTTGAGTGATTAATGAGTGCCAATGGGAAAAGTCATCGGTGAAATAGAGAAGACAATCAACATTTTTTTAGAAAAATCACACAAATTTTATTTAACATTTTCAACAAATTTAATAAATACAGTGCACTGATTTTGTGTTTCTTTTTATTTCAGTAGGTCCGTTCTATAAGATGAAGAAAATCGTACAAATGGTAGCAGAAAAAGATGCCAAATAAGGTCAGTGCATTTCAATTTTTTGTTTATTGCAAAGTGAGTGCAAATTTACTTTTACAATAATTTTTAACCTAGCAACGTCCTCGAGTATTATAAATCGCATAATGTTCTCGTTATATTAATAGCTATTATATTGTCATGTCACGCTTACGTTGACTTAAATGTGTTATATCAGGATATTTATTATTCAGAATTTATTTTAACATAGGATGATTGCGAATAAAAT